ACCGGGCCGGGGCCGGGGCCGGGGCGGGGACCGGGAGGGGCCGGCCCGATGGGGCACCGCGGGGAAACTGAGGCAGGAGAGAGGGGGGAACGGCGCAGTGCCCCGGGCTCCGGATTGCCAGCTCCGGTCCCGGCGAGTCCGGCGGGGCGGGCTGGAGGCGGGGATGAGGTTCCTGGAGCTGCCGCGGGGGAAGGGGGGGCCCRCTGCAGAAACCCTGCTCTCTGCCTGTTCTCGCAGGACCAGGACAAACTGCGCTCCSTGCCTCAGTTTCCCAGTGGGCAAGGAGCTGACGGCACCCCTGCCAGCGGGTGAGAAGCAGGCAGAGAGCTACAGAGAGCCTTCCTGCTCTGGCTGGCTGCAGCCCTGGACGTGCAGCCCGTGCTTGGGGTGAGGAGTTTATTCTGAGCTCCGAGCTCGGGCTGCTCAGCCAGGGCTGCAGCTGGACCGAGATGGTTTCCTGCCTGCTCTCGTGGCTCCTGCAGCAGCAGCCCCAGTGCAAAGCCTATTTTTATGTGTCAGGGAGTCTCAGGCACCCCATCAGAACAAAGACACAACCAACCTTTCTGAGCTGTGCTAGGACCAAGACTCCAGCCCTTTGGCAGCAGCTGCTGGCCAGTGAGAGGTGGGGATGCACCCCAAAYCCTGTTTGCTGGTAACGTTGGTGGGCAGCCCTTGGTGCTAACATCACATCAACGGACAGGAAACGGGGTGAATCGTCCCTGCAAGGTGGGAGATGACAAATACCCAAGAAACGCTTTCTCACAGCAAGGTGCTTGTGCAAACCACATCCTCTGCTCCCCGTGAGGCTCTAACGATGGTAAAGAGGTGGCACAGAGCCCTTCTTGCTTCCTTCCCTCTGCAGCTGTAGTAAGGTAACCACAACCTTATAGACATTTTTGGATTCTCTAGGAATTCTGTTGTTGCAGAGGGGGAAATGGACACACGCCYCTCATTGTGTCGAAGAGAGGAGAGGAAGCAGTTTATGAACATCAGCTAGGAGAAAAATCAGGAAACAAGCAGCTGTGGGGTGCACAAGGAGGTTTATTAGAGAAGGCAGCATGGTGGGATGGTGGCAGAGGAGGGGCTGACCCTGGCTAGTGCTGCCTGGGGCTGGGAGCAGGCAGAAGGGGCTTTTGCCAGCTTCTCTCCAACATTCTGGGGAAATCTGGCCACAGGCCAGATGCCAGACACCACTTCTCTTACAGGTCACCCACACTCCTCGYCTCGGCCATCAGGTTGCAGGCAGGCTTGTGCTTCTGCCAGTGCTGGACCTGGCACGCCCTGCAGAGGGGTAAGCTGCCGTCAGGGGCAGTGGAGCCACATCCATCTCTGGGAGCAGAGCAGCAATAGGGGCAAACTCCAGCACCACATTCCTCTGGGAGCTTGGGGAGAGCTGGCACAGCCCAGCATTAGACCGAGAGAGAGGTGGATGCGCCCCAGTTCTGGAGGTTAAGACGGTTTAACACCAGACCTTGCCAGATGGTTCAAGACCAGAGAAGATTTAATTTACTGCCACTGTCCCAGCTGCCACATCCTATCACTTGCACCCACGGGGTCATGGGTGCTTTCCTACTTCTGCCCCACCAAGGCGGAGAGGAGGGTGACAGTGTCACCATGGAAAACCCAGCCTGTCACTGCTGTCACTGCAAGCGGAGGTGGCTCAGCACCTTGCAGCTGTAACACAACTCTCACCAGCACCTCCTCCACCAGCAGCCCAGCACTTCAGCCTCCCCACAAGATTTGGAGAGATAGGTGGCCAGCAGAGAGCCAGTGGTGCTGAGCAGTGCTGGGACCCCTGGCTTTCCCTGGCCCTACCACAGCATTCTCCAGTGAGATCTGTGGTACTCAGGGGAGCGCTGAGGGGCTGCATGGGCACCCCAGGAGCTGCAGGGGGGACAGGGGGTGGTAGAGCTCCCTTACCGTGTGCAGTACCACTCGTTCCTGCAGCGAGAACAGCGCTTGGCCGCTTCTGCACCACACACCCTGCAGCGGGGCTTGTCAGGGGCCAGAGCCTCCATCATGTCCAGGCTGTAGGTCTGKGCCCACCTGTGCAGGCAGAGGGGTGAGGCTGCTTACAGGGGATTGCTGAGCAGCAGTGAGCTGTCTATGCTGCACCCTACCACTGAGAGGACATCTCCAGGCAGTACCAGAGAGCCTCTGTCCTCCCCATGCCGAGCCCCTGCTAATGGTGATACTGGCCCCACTGGGCAGCCTGCACACCTGCACCAGGGCCTCACCTGCGTGCCTGGAGCTTCAGCTCCTCCTCAGTGGGGCTGAAGGCGTGCTTCACCTGGTGCTTGGCAATGGCCTCCCACTTCCCTGAGTTTTTCTTGAGGATATGGTCCCAGATGACAGGAACCTGGTGGGAGAGGCAGAGCAGGAGGAAAGGATGCTAACAGCCTGAACAGAGGTGCTGCGGTTCCAGGAGAAGGCAGCCAGCCCGGGGCACAAGAAGCATGACCCTCCAGGAGGACAAGCAGAAACAGCAGAGGCTGTCAGGSTGTGCTTTTGGTTATATGGAGGGGAAGGATGCACTCTCTAATGGGCATTGTGGTGAAACTAGGGAAAAACTTTGAGGTCCAGCTGGGAATGAGTGTTCAGCCCTGAGGTCTGAGCTCCTGAGYAGAAAGCCCTGGGACCTCAGCACCCTGCGTGTGGCAGCAGCGTGAACCCCGTGCTCCAGAGCCGTTTGTCTGAGCAGATTTTTCCGCTCGTCACTTCCCTGAAGATGAACAGCCGGGGAAGGGCTGGCCAGCGCTAAAGGAAACATCCCAGCCAAGAGCAGCGCGCCGAGTTCAGCCTCTGGAGCGGACCATACCGYTTCAAACAGCGCTGCCTTCTCCAGCAGAGTAAAAATAGCCAAGGAAGGGGAGGAGGCTGCTCTGGGAGCAGCCAAATGGAAAAAGGCCTTTCCTTAGCTTGGCTCAGCAACAAGGAGTGAGTTCACCACGCTCAGGGCAGAGCAGGGAGCCCATGGCTGTGCTTCCAGCTGGCTCCCCTGCCTCCCCAGGGCTCAGCCCCAGCCTTTGGCAGGAGCAGGGGCAGCACCAGCACAAAAGCAGAGCTATGGACAAGGGCAGCACYCTGGAGAAGGTCCCCAGCATGGCAGCTGACCGTCACTGTGCCACCAACCCGCTGGCAGTCGAGGCACATGGCGTGAATCCACGTGCACCTCTGCCCTGCTGCCATCCCAGCCCCAATAGCTCGGCACACTGGGCTTCAGCTTCCCCAGCCCCAGCTCCCAGTCCGGGCCATGCCTCCAGTGCAGCCACAGCCACCTCTGCCAGGGCACATCACGCTCCTCCCAGGCCATGCAGCCAGCTGTGATGGGKACAGTGTGTTCCCATTGGGGACAGCCCAGACGGCCACTGCCCAACCTACCCGTCCACTCTGGGAAGTGCTGTGGGAGCCCCTGGCAGTGGGGAAGAGCCTCTGAGCTCCCAGTTCTTCTCAGCAGCCTCTCTGCAGATCTGCCCCCACACTCAGTTTCTCCCCTCAGCTCATGAGAAGGCAGTAGAAACACATAAAAACACTTTTCTCCAGAGATTACCACTGCATGGATTAAAACCCCCAAGAACCTCTTGGCTGTTTACAGACCATCAGTTTGGCCTAACTCCCAAAGGCCCAGACACCAGCTGGGACCAGTTTAACTCCAGACTATCACCAGATCATGATGTCCCTCTGTACACAGCGTGCCAAACAGCTTCAGACCAGGGCTGTAAAAGGGGACTTCCTTGGGGAGTTCAGAATGCAACAGGAAAACACTGGTAAGTGTCAAATGAAGAGTTAATTGTCAAAAAAAGTCAGTGCCTGTCTGCCCCATGCAGCTGCCATCCCAGGGACTCAGTGTGACCTGGAGAGCTGTTCATAACTCAGCATTTATGACTTTAGATGTGATTGCTTGGCCACTGCAGGGCAGGACAAGGSTCTCACATCACCCACAGGCAGGTTTGCTGTCAATAGGGTGTTAATGAAATGGGTGCTTGGCTGCTTTTCCAGGGCACCACCACTACAGAGCTGAACTTCGTGGAAAAAAAAAGGGGTAAGGAGCTATGAGTCTTAGAGCAGCATGGCTGTCTAAGGTGAAGAGGTGAAGGAAGAGCCAAGGATACCTGCTCCAGGATGAGATCCTTTTTGGGGGGAGCAGGATCTGTCACTGCAAGGTAACTCAGAAATCTCTGCATCTCCACCAGGTTGGGCAGCTGGTCAATGAGGACATCTGTCAGGAATGCACGGAGCTGCGGCCATGRAGGGGGAGAGAAGAGTGAACAGAGAAAGGTCAGGAGAAGGGAGTCAGAGCTGGGGAAGCAGCAGGRCAAGAGCAGGGCTTTGGAGGGCGCTGGCAGAGAGACCTATTGGGGTTTCATGAGGTGCACTCGCAAACACAAGCTTTGCTGCTGCTGCTGCTACAGACAGAGCTGCTGCTCTCCTTCCACTGGCTCCTTGGAGCCCGCAGTGAGGACGGGGACAGATGTCTGCAGGTGCCCAGGGCTGGCAAGGGCCCAGGGCCTTCAAGCTGTAGGGTCCTACCTTGAGGAGCTGGCCCTTGTTGAAGCCATCRAAGTGGTATTTGCGCTGGCACTCGSGGCTGAGCAGGAGGTTGAGGAGGGCGAGCCACACCTGCCCATCGAGTTTGGTCATCTTCATCTGGTCCTCAGGAGGCACCACATGCCATGTGCCATTCTCAAACTTCTTGAGCTTGCCTGAGGGACAGAAGAACYAGGGAGACACAGTGCTGCCTGAGGAAAGACAGCTCAGAGCGGGGATGCTGGCCTGTGCTCACTGCCTTACTTCACCCTCTGCTTCTGCCTGCCTCAGTTTCCCCAACCTTCGCTCCCCATAGCAGCCTAACTGGTACTGAGGCAAAATATCAAAGAGCATGAAAAGCAGAAAGGACCAATGTTAAACCAACAGTGCTGTGGCAGGAACAGAATGATCCCTGAGACATCTCCCTCTCTACTTGGCCAGGAGTTTAGATAGGCAGTGGGCAGCCCATGCTGCAACAAGAGTGGCTGGAGAGACCCATTTTGGGGTACCAGCATGGCCAATTCCCACTCTTCTCCAGTTTCCTCCACCAGGGAAAGGCAGAAGTRGCATGAATATAACAGATATGACAAAACAACTCCAGCAGCTACTGTGTGGCTCTGGGAGACGGAGCAGGATGTGACCCTCATCTGCACAGCCTGGAAATGCCTTTGTACTCATCTCTTTCCAGTCCCTCCCCCAGGGCCCTGGATCAAAGCTCCCTTTTACACCCMGAGAGCACAGGCAGAGAGAAGGGATGTGATTTGTGGCTGAAGGAAGGAGGAAAGCTCCTGCATCCAGCTGGGCTGCTCTCGGCAGGCACAGCCACGTGTTTCCCAGAGCTCTTCCTGCCCTGCCCCCGTCTGATCCCCCGTGCAGGGCTGAGGCAGCACGGTTCCCACGCCCCAGCCCCTGCCCCACCACAGGGCAGGCTGGGAAGATGAGGGGCTGTGGGGCTCGCCTGCCTGCAGAGGGGGGAGCTGATGGCCCAYGGACACAGCCTGGTCAGGGGCCTTTGGCAAGAGTGAAGCTCAGGGAGCAGCAGCAGCATCAGGGCAGTCTCTGCTACCTGGGAGAGCCCACTCTGGCTCCAGTAAGTGCTGCTGCACAAAGGTCAGAGAAGCTGGGACGGGCACGCTGGTCTTTGTGTGTCCAGAAGACTGCTCAGAGGAGCACGTGTTGCTGGCAGAGGTGCTACACTCCAGTGCTGGCTGTGATCACTCAGAAGAGACCCAACCCTCTGTGAGGATCAGCTTTTGGGAGCACTCTTGGGTCTCCAGTCCAGCTGTGCTGCAGCTGCTCTCGAGCTGATCAGCTTCAGGCAGGSAGCACTGAGGAGCTGGAGGGGAGGGTAGAGGGGGAGCAGCTCTGCAGGGGCTCCTACAGCAGATCCYTCGGTGGATGCACGTCCCAGCACAGCACCACGGTGCCCCAGATACCCTGGGGTATGATCCATACCTGCTTCCCAGCAGCTCCAGGGGCAATGCTCCACCAGCTCGACAAGGAGGCARGGCAGGTTGTGGGTGTTCAGCATCCGTGTCAGTGCACTCAGGGGCAGACTGGAGATATGACAGAAAGGGGGAAAGGCACTTGCAGATTAATGCCAGAATTTGTATCTACAAATGCTCCTTGAGGCAACTGGGAGAGGCAGGAAAGAAACAATGATCTGGGTTCCCGGGAATACCATGGAGCAGGCTGGAGTGCTCCTGTGTTTGCTGCCCAGGGCACAGTGTCACTGTGGATACAACCAGCTGCTGAAACGGGTCCAGGAACCCACTGTGACCCCACAGGAAACAGGAATCCCCTCCGGAGAGCTGGACACATCCTCTGCTGCTCCTGGGCACCTACCTCTCCACCTGATCTGTGATGAACCGCAGCACAGACAGGGCCTTCAGGGAAATCTCAAACTCCATCGCCTCTGCCTGCTTCTGCAGCTCCTGTGGAATGACAGGAACAGCCTTGGGATTTCAGGCTCCATTTCCCAGGAGCTACAGGGAGGCAGGCTGTTGACTGCATTGGTAACCACAGTCTGGGTAGGAAAACAGAGCCCTGAAAAACAGTTTCTTGTGTCAACTGTGCCAGCACTGCCTGTTTGCCAGGGCAGCCACAAAAGTGCTTGCAGTTCCACTGTTGCTCATCCCTCATGTCCCTGCCCCTAACAGGTCGTGGGTGGCCTCTGGCTGCAGTGCTCRAACACAGGAAGACCCCCTGAAAGAGGCTGGTTCCAAACTACACCTCTCTCCCTTTCTGAGACCATCTTGTGGCCCATGGCCCTGTAGAGACYTGGAAGGGTTGAAGGAGGGGGGAGCTGCATGATCAGCAGAGGAACCAGAGAAGGAGGAGGAGTGTGARACTTGGCCCTGGTGCAGCTGCAGTCCTAAGTCCACCCCTCCTGGATCTGCCTCTCCCCCCGGGCTTGGGAACAGCCAGCTAAAATATCTGCCTGTGGTTATCCCAGCCCACAGCTGTGCCATGCTCTCCAGCCAGCCAMCCTCCTTCCCTTCCCAGACAGTGTGGACACCCCTCTCATCCCCCATAACAGCCTGACCACCCTCCAACTCAGCCTCTTTTGAGACCACGGGGAGGGCCATGCTGAGAGGTGCTGAGTCCTTCTCCCTGGCTCAGGCAGAGCTTCCCTCCAGTCCCAGAGGCAGCTCACACTTGGTGTGCAGAGCACTGACCTCAGCATCCTGTATTTCTCTGAACTGCAACAGTTCCCTTCCAGATTTCTGTGGTAAGCAGCTCTGCACTCCCTGTGCTTGTGCCCCACACGTTACTAAAAGAGTTTTGTGGGCTCTTCTCTGCCTTCTCCCTCTCCAAACTGCCCTAAGCTCCTCCTTGTATCCAGACCTCAGCTCTGCTGCCTTGAGGCAGGGGCTCTCTTTTGCCCGTCCTTCCAGAGGACAGCAGAACAACAGTTACCACCATACACATTTCCAAAGGACAACGGGCTCCACAACACAGGAGATGGCAGGAACAGCTTTTTMACAGGGGTTATTGTACATAGAGTCAGGAGAGGCTGGAATCAATCAGAGGAAACCAGGCTCCTTGGGAGAGGAGGGCTTTCAAGAACCCTATTGGCTAGAAAAGTTCTGGGTTTTTAAGTTCATGTCAAAGTACTAACAGAGACACCCCCTTCCCCTCCCCAGCTGGGAAAACATTTCCTGGAAAACATCCCTATTATGCTCCAGATCCCTCCACTTCCTTCCTTTTTCTGAAAGAGAAGTATGTGTTTGGGCAACAAGCCAAAGGATAGAGGCAAGGGGAGGTTCAGGCTCTCCCTTTAACCCTGCTTTTCCAGATAATCCTCCTGATGTGCAGTTCCAGGTGCTGAGAAACACCAGAGGCTGACAGCTCCTGCTCTGGGAAGGTGTGTGTGTCAGCCTGGGAACAGCTGACTAATAAAAGCTCCGGGATTGCTGCTAGCCTGGACCAGCACAAAGGAGGTGGAGAACAAAGGAAGTTGGTGGAAGCACATAATGACAATTCCTAATTGTATGTGAACCCTCTGACCCACTTCCTAAGCTTCAGGGAGAGACATCCAAACAGCCTCAAGGAGAAACAGCAAATGGCCAAACCCCTCTACGGAATATTTTGCCCATCGGCTCTCCAGCATACCCCACCCCAGGGCTCTGAGCGTGTCCTGCAGGAGGCCTCAGGCTGTTGTCACCAGACAGGGCTCAGGAGTGGAACAGGGAGGATGCAGCCATGGCACAGGCAAGCTCCTGGCACACAGGAGCACCCTCTGAGATGGGCAGGAGGTACCAGGGTTGCAACCAGGAGTTCTCCATGAAAAGGCGTCCCTCTGCCTCTGCAGGCTGCCCACATTCCTCACCACATACATCCCCAGTGAAGCACAGGACATTCTCCTCACCTGCGTGGATGAGGGGCTGGCCAGATCCTCAGCACGAAGCTCCGCTGCGGTCACTGTCTGTGCCTTGGTGCTCCGAGATGCAAGCAGGGTCAGCTTCCGGTGGCAATAATCAATTAAATCCAGAATGCTGTCCTCTGCTGACTCACAGATCTCCTTCACAACGACAAGGGTTTCACACAGGGACAGTCCCCACAGTCCCTTCCACCCCTGGGACTTTCCACTAAGGAAAGTTGAGCCTGTCTCTCACCTTGTGAAAGAACACGGTCTCCAGGAGGTTGATGATGGAGGCTTCATGGTGCAGCTGTGGGAGGAGAATGGCAAGAGTGAGGTAACAGTGGAGCAGCACTGAGTACATGGACACTGTGACACGGAACAGGGCTCTTCTGAGAAGCTGCTTATGTGCTTGTGGCCAAAAACCAGTCCAAGAGAAAAATACAAGTGGTGCAACCTTAAAAACAACTCCAGTTCATGCAGTTCATATTAATATTTACGCTGACATGCCTGTGACACTCCAACACGCTGAAGGAGAGCCACACTTGTCAGCAGGCAGGGCTCTTCAGGGCTCTGCCTGTGCTGCAGGRGCAGGACAAGCACTGCCCTCAGGCTAGCTGCAGCCCCTGGCACCAGCACAGAGCCACTGCCCCAGTGGGACATCCCCAGTGCTTCTCCCAGGCCCTGGCACTGGGGCAGACAGCCTTGTCTGAGATTGCAGCCATGGCATAAACTGCCCCAAGGCAACCAGCTGCTCAGAAAAGACACCACCTCACCCCAGCARGGTGTTACCCTGGTCTGAAAATGGGTTAAAACTTCCAAGCTTCAGGCACATYTCCCTTAGGTCAAGGGCTGTATCCCTCTGCAAGGAAGCCCAGTACTGGAGGTTGCTCCCTTGCCAAGCATGGCCCARGGGACCAGGAACTCAGTAAGAAAAAGCTACATTTTTTTAGCCCAGAGGCACATAATGCCAGAGAGCCTCTGGCTAAAGAAAAACAGTGCTCAGAGGAGGACAAATACCCCAGGGCTGTGACTRCCTGGAGCAAGGGCAGCGCTGGGAGCTGCAAGCCAGGAGTGCAGCTGCCTCCAGGAATGGCTTTTGCTCCACCAGCAGCTCCCACAAGCCCCTGTGAGGGATTGAGAGGGGACAGCTCTCCACAAAGCCAAGCTTCCCTGGSAGTGAGTCCCTGTCCCTCTTGGGGGCAAGGGCAGGGGCTTGCAGCTCACGGCTCTGGGAAACCAGGCACTTCTTACTGTGTCCTGCTGCCCACCTCAGCCTGCTGAGAGGTAAAACCTCAGCTCTGAGACCTTCAGAGCRACACTTATTCAAGCACAGCTGTACCCACCCCATTTCCAGGCTCATTCCCACCRCTCCCTCTACTCACCACCACGTAGATGGGGAAGGTGCTTCTCGGCTTGAAGTCCTCCAGCCGGCAGAGCACGGGAAAGACCTTGTGCTTCCAGATCTCCACAGAGATCAGCTCCCCAATGAGAACAGGAATCTAGACAGGGATGGGGAAGCAAAGCCTTTCAGACCAGTGCTGCAGGGGRAACCAGTTTTGTTGCTAATGGTCAGCCACGCTGGAGTCACCCAGGGAGGAGAGTGCCCTTGGGGCACACTCTGTATTTACCCAGCTCACAAATGAGCAGCTTCTCACCAGAGAGCAGGGGCAGAGCTCCTGGGGCTGCAGGGGGGGAAGGTGACCCAGAGGAGCAGGGCAGGTCCAGGCCATGTCACACCCTGGGGCTGGGACACCTCAGGCATAGGGAAGAGATCTGCATCCCAAAGGGGYTGGTGCATGAAGGAGACCAAACAAACCTCCAAGAGAGAAACCAGACACCAACAAGTAGAAATACCACAGCTTGACCTTTAATTTTTTTCAAAATCAAAACTGGCACACCACCAGTCAAACATCTTTTCCAGAGACACAACAGATTCTTCGGCACTTTATTCCAAAATTGCACACTGCCCACAGGACAAGCCCAACTAGAGGCTGAAGGCTCAATGTGGGGATCACTCCTGCACTCCTGCTCACCTTGGCGTGGGTGACCAGCAGCTCGGTGAGGAGCTGCTCCTGGCCCGCTGAGGCGCTCAGGATGCCGTGMATGTTGAGCTTCTCCACGTACTCGTGCTGCCGAAGCCATCTGAGGACATCAGTGCCACAGAGCTCCGGCCACTGGCTCGCTGGGGTCCCTCGTGCAGGGAARTCTGCCCTGCCYGCCCGCCTGACCCAGCAACACCTCACTGGGGACACGACAGAACTGGGGGGGACCCTGTCCATCATCCTGACCTACCCACACAGACCCTCCGATCTGGGACCCCCCTATCTCTCGGTCCTTTCAGGGAGGGTCCAGGACTGCAGTCCCTCCTCTAACCTCACCCCACTCCACCCTGACCCTCTGGGGTCACCCAACAACCAGAACCTCTCTTCTCTACACTAGACTTTCTGGGAAGCCCTTCTTACATCCACACAGACCCTCTGGGGAGGCCCCAAGAACGGGACCCTTCCTCACTCCCTTCACCCTGGCCTTCCAATCTCCCCCCAGTCCTTTCAGGAAGGATTCAGAATTGTAGCCTCTTCTCTCACCCCACCCCTCCCCGACCCACTGGGGTCACCTCAAAATCAGGACCCTTCCTCTCTATCTTCAGCCTTCTGGAAACCCTTCCTTACCCCCACTGTGACCCCTGGGAAGGCCCCAAAACTGGGACCCTCCTCTCCACCCACAGCGGAGCCCCGAAATTTAAAGCCCTCTTTCATGTTCTTCCCCCAAACAGCCAGAGAACACCGCACAGCCGTGTCCCCGCACCCCTGCCCGCCGATGTCCCGCAGCTCTACGCCCTGCAGGGCCTGCACCAGCGCCTCAGCCTCGGCGGGAGGCAGCGGCTCGGGCATGGCGGCCATGGCGTCCGCGTCGCTGTGGCAACGGCGCCGCTGCTGGCGCCCCCTGGCGGCGCGGAGGACTGGCGGCGGGCAGGCGGCACGGGGCGGCCTCTGGCGCCCTCTGGCGGCGCGGAGGAGCGGCCGCAGCCCAGGGACACACGGGGGACACACGGGGGACACACGGGGGACACACGGGGTACGCGTGGGGGTACACGGCTCAGGGGAGGGCCATTGCTGCTGTCACTTCCAGCACACGATGATGTTGGGGTCGTTCTCCAGGCGCTCATCCAGCTCCTTGTARCTCATGCCTGGMAGGTAAGACAATGCAGTGTTAGCAGGGTGTCAGTGTGCCGTCAGTGGGGTGCCCAGCTGCGGTCTCCAGAGGCCTGGGTGKGCTCCCCGAGCTCTGCATCTGGCAGCGTGGGCTTGGCAGCCTGGCTCGGCAAAGAGCTTGGCCCACAGTCCTGTGTCCCTGCGTTCTAAAGGCTCCCAAAGGGGCAAGAACCCAGGAACCATACAGCTGTGGGCAGAAGACATTCCTGTGCCCCCCACCAGCCCTGATCCACAGGGAGCAGAGGATCCTATGGATCCTATGGACTGTACCTGTCTTACAGCAGATCTCATCGTAGCTGTGGCAGCCCGTGTACAGCCGGGCTGGGTGGCTCCGCTCGTCCCGGGCGACCTTGACAGGGTATTTCTGGAGCCGCCGGATAAGGCCCTTCATCAAACCAAACTGGATGAGCCTCCTGGGGAGGAGGAGGGAAGAGACTTGGACTGCAATGCTGAGGTGCCAAATGCCACAGTACCCTGCCTTCCCTCCTGTTCCCCATGCCCCACCACTCCCTATCATTTCTGACCCTACAGACACAGCGGTTTGGTACTCCCTGTTCACTTTCCCATACTCTCTCTGCCACCCYCAGTGTCAGCACTGCCCTCAGGGACTGATCAGGAGGCTCTGACCTCTCATCCACCCTCTGGAGCTGTAGGGTGTAGCGGGAGATGAGGTCTCGCACGGTGGTGCCAGGGCTCAGCCCGCAGTACAGCTGGAAGACATCCCTGAGGCTGGCTCGCTTGTGCCCTGTGAAGATAAATCACCAGTCATCTGTCCTGTTCCCTGCCAGGGCCAGCATCTCCAGGCAGGGTCACCGTACCTTGTTTGGTGACGTAGGATAGACACTCTTCCTGGAGACATTTGTCATCCACCAGGTCCTGCACCTTGGGCGTGGTGCAGTAGACATTGGAGTACTGGAAGGTGATGGAAACCCAGCTCAGCTCAGTTGTGGCTCTGAGAGACATGCCCAGCCCACTCCAACCCTGCTGTCCCCCCTCCACAGCCACCCTRATGGCACAGCCACTGCCCAAATTCTGCTCACAGCCCCAGGCTCCGTGGCCTGACCCACCTGGAGTATGGAGACAAGTGTGACAACCCCGTAGTACCTGCAGACAGACAGGAAAAGGTGAGAGACCCTCTCTGRCAGCACCACCCCCCTCCTCGGGCTGTGCAGCCCCTCCAGGCACTCACAGCAGGTTCTGCACAGCGATGCGCACCAAGTTCAGCTCCACGTCAGCCTCTGCTGAAATCTTCTGGACGTGCCGAAATCCATCGATGTAGGGCAGGATCTGGGAGGGGAGGAGGCAAGAGTTAAGAGGGCAGAGAGACATCACCCCGAAGCCCAAGAAGCTCCCCTGCATCTGGAAGAACCTGTGATGGGCAGGGTCCRTCCCCAGGTGTATTTTATGCTCTGCTGGTGAATGATTTGCTCACAGGCCCAAGYACAAACACAAGGGGAGCACCAAACCATGCTCATTAATGTGGTGATCTCCAGGACAGCCCAACCTCCCTGGTGGTCTGGAAACAAACAGCCCCTTCAGAGCATCAAGCACACGGACCTGCTGTGTGGTGAGATCCCACTGGGAGTTGAAGAAGTCATCCTTGTCTTGGGTGAAGACAGGGACATCATACTCCTGCACGATGGGGGGGTCTGGGCGCTGCTCGATCACCTTCAGGTGGATGGTGTTCGACTCATCTGCCCGGGAAAAGGGGAAGGCTTGATCTCCATGGGAACCTCAGCAGCTTGCAACCAACAGCCCCAGGACACCACARTGTCACATGGACACGGTGTTTGCAGCCCATAATGCCATCCCACCCATCCCTTCAAGCCTCCCAGGGCACGGCTGGCTCACACACCCCCAGCTCCAAGCACAGACAGGCAGGGAGCTGCAGGAGCAGTGCAGGGAATGGCCCAGCTGTCTCCCAGCAGTGCCCTGCCCTGCTCCTGCCCTCGCTGCATGGCCACTGTACCTATGGGCAGGGTGCACTTCCCTTTGGCATTCAGCTCCTCCAGCAGGATGGTCATGATGGGAACCAGCTTCTGTTTACTCTCCTCATTGGAGATGAATCCACTTTCCAGCTAAAGAGAGCAGAAAGTCAGGTCAGCTCCTCCCCACAGGATTACTGGCTATAGGAGCCCAGATCCGATTACCCTTTAAAACTGAAGTGATCTGTAGGTAACCAACACAATCCCCTCCTCACAGTAAAGCCAGCCCCTTATCCCAGCAATGCCCAGTGACCCCCAGTGTGCTCCAGGACACTGCTGAGGTGAACATGCTCTTTGGGTGGATCAGGAGGCAGCCTGGCCTCACCTCCAGGGTGGTGAGATAGCCAGCCAGCTTCTTCACGATGGGCTCCAGCGCACAGGCCTTGGCTCTGGCGTCACACACGAAGCCCAGGTTGAAGAGCAGAGCATTCCGGCTGTACTTCTTGTGCTCAATGCACACGGGGCAGCCGATCAGCTTCTTCTCCATGGCTGTCCTGTGGGGAGACACCTGCGACCTGCACCTACRCCCTCAGGGAGCCTCCAGTCCCCCACAAGGACAGCTCCTGCTCAGCTCTGGAGGTGGGAGCTTCTGTRCATTGCAGGAAAAATGATGTCTAAGCCCTGCATGCTCATGCAAATCACAATCTGAAGCAGGGGGAGGAGTCAGCCCTCAGAAAAGGAAAATCTCCTTCTGAAGCCAGCACGGGTCTCCGGACTGGTGTGACTTTCCTGGAGCAGCACATGCAGCACTAGCCACCCCCAAATCAGACCAGCCACCCTCTACCCGGGTACTTGGGGCACCTCAGTGACCCGCTGGCCGCGGGGCCAGGAGCCGTGCGCGCTGGCACTGTGGCAGCACCGAGCCCGGCGCCGGGGGACAGCGGGTCCCCGGGACACCAACGGGGCTTTGCCCGCACTCACACGGTGATCAGCTTGTTCTGCAGCTCGGGCTTCGTGATGACGTACACCTGGATGGTGTCAAACAGCTCCCGGGAGATGAAGTCCTCGGGCACCTGCGGCGGCACAGGAGGCTCSGTTCAGCCGAGCCCCGTCCCGCTCGGGGAGCACCCGCCACCCCKGCTGCTGTCCCGCTTCCCCTCCATGGGCGCTGCCACGGCCCGGTCCCAGCCCCCCCGCGGCGGGCAGGCACTGGGGGCCCCGGGCCGCTCGCCCCGCACCTGGTAGGTGATTTTGGGCCCCAGCGTGGGGTGGAACTCGCTGAAGAACACGCACTCGATGCGGCCGCCCATGGCAGGACGCGGAGCGGCCCCAACCCCRCCGGCCACCGTAGCTCCGCTCCCGCGGAATCACACCGCCGCGCCTTGGGGGCGGGCCCTCACATTGAGCGACAGCGCCTCCAGCCATTCAGCGGCAGCGCAACGCGCCGGGGGCGGGCCTTAGCGCTGACAGACAGCTCAGCTCAGCCAATCGGAGGCCGCGCCGCGGTCCGGCCGTGTCGGCGGCGGCGGTCCCGCCCGCCCGGCCAACATGGCCCTGACGGCCGAGAGCGAGTCCCGGCTGTACCGCTCGCTGCGCGTGGCTGCCGGTGCCGCCGCGCACCTCGTGGCGCTGGGATTCCCCGCCGCCGTGGCCGTACTGGTGCGGCCCGGATCCAGTGAGTGCCGGTGGGGCCGGGCCGGGGGCGCGGGGAGGGCCGGATGTCTGAGCGCACCTCACCCTGCCCTTCCCTTGCAGGTCTCTTCTCGTGGCATCCGCTGCTCATGGCCCTCGCGGTAAGTCCCGCCGTCCCGGTCACCGCGCCGCTGCCGCGGGACAGGCAGGGGCCGTGCCGTGGGAGTCCCTGGGTGGTGGGTGCGGAGCCCCGGGAGCTGTCGGGTGACGGCAGGCTGAGCCCCGGTAGCCCCGGGTGGTGGGTGCGGAGCCGCGGTAGCCCCCGGGCTGTGGGCACCGAGCGCAGGAAACGCGGCGCAGGGGCGTTTGGCCGGTGCCAATCCCGCTGCCCTCTGCCCCCCAGTTCTCGTTCCTGATGACGGAAGCGCTGCTGATCTTCTCCCCGGAGACCTCGCTGCTGCGCTCCTTCTCCCGCAAAGTCCGAGTGCGGGCGCACTGGGCCCTGCAGCTGCTCGCCCTGCTCTGCGCGCTCCTGGGGCTGGCAATCATCACCTACAACAAGCACCTGAACGGCAAGGGCCACTTTGTCACCTGGCACGGGCTGACGGGGCTGCTGGCCGTGCTGTACGCCGGCGGGCAGTGCGCCGGGGGCGTGCTCCTGCTCTACCCCAAGCTGATGAAAAACTGGACGCTGGCCAAGCTGAAGCTGTACCATGCGACCTCAGGGCTGGTGGGCTACCTGCTGGGCTGTGCCAGCCTGATGCTGGGCATGTGCTCCCTCTGGTTCACCACCACGGTGACCGGTGCCTCGTGGTACCTCGCCATGCTATGTCCCCTCGTCACCAGCCTGGTTATCATGAACCAGGTGAGCAATGCGTACCTGTACCGCAAGCGGAGCCAGCACTGAGGGCTTGGTGCTGACCTGAACTTCCCAGAGCGAGCTGGGCCTCCCCTTGCAGCCCCCCTGCTCGCACAGGTCTTCTTAGAACTTGGTTTTACCTCCTCGTCTTTCGTTAGTCCTGGATTGTTCATTGTGTCTTGTCCCTGGGGAGCAGCTGCGATGTGTGTGACRCTCACCCTGCCTCGGTGGGGGTGCTCCCCAGCACAGGTGAAGCTGCTGCTCCCTGTGGCAGCTTGGTGCTCAGTGCTGGGAAATGGAAGGCTCGCTCAGGATTCCTGCTGCTTTTCCCTTCCCACACAGGGCTGCCTGGAGCAGGCAGGACAGGAGCCATCCTGGTGAGGAGGGTAGGGAGTCCCCTCTCCTGGGAAGCTGCAGCAGACACCACGCTGCCTCTCCTGCCACAAGGGCAGCTTGGCCAGCAAAGCACAGGGCACGGTTGTGGCTGCAGCCCGGGCAGGGTGGTGGCACCCAAGGAACRGTACAGCAGCAYGTGTGTCCCCATGGCACGGGCAYTCTCTGGGATCAGTGGGCAGCTCTGCCCCGAGGCCCCGGGTCCAGGCACCCACTGCCACGCACAAACCCCTCCAAAACCCTCCGTGGGCTGGGCTCGGCCTCGTGGGGTGGGGTCAGTTTACAGAGCAAATTACTGAGCCAGGCTGTGAACCTGCAGTCAGCAAGTCATTGTGTCCTTTGGAGAGGCACAGGGAACAGCGTGAGCACGGAGGGAAGCACAGATCTGGGGGATGAACCCATGGGAAGGCAGGAAGAAAGCTCCTTGCTGGCACAACAGCCTTCCTTCCAGCATGTATCCTGCTCCAGGCAGGGCTGGAGAGCTGGGAGCAGCTCCCAGGCTGAAAAATTCCTCTGTATCCAGAGCTTTTATTCAATAAAAATTTCAGGCAGCTAGAGTGCAACAAGCCCTCTTTACTCCTTGGGCGGGATGACTTTTGGGGTGCAGGCAGACATCTCCCCCTGCAGATTTCCCACCTCCTGCTGGGAGCACCTGGAAAGAAACCCTCTCCCCAGCCTCCTGACAAAAGCCCTCAGGGGCTGCTCTGTGCTGGGCCCCCCACCCTGCCCATGCTCTGCTGCAGGAGCCAGTGCTTTCAAAGAACTCTTTATTGATACCCAAAMGGCTGTGTTCTTCCCATTTGACAAAACCTTCTCATGTGGTTGGTCCTTTAAAAAAATAATCATAACACTGCTGATCCACATCGTGGGCAGGATATTGCCCGCTGGATCAGGAGCTGTGGAGGTTGTCACAGGRAGCATCTTCTCCATCCAGGAAAAAAACCTCATCAACACAGAAGAGGGAAAAGAAAGGGGGAGCCCATATTCTACCTGCRTGAAAAAAACCTGCTGCCAGAGGAAGCAGCAAGAGCCCCACTGTAAAAATTAATTCCAGCTTCTAGTGTAATCTGGTGAACGGATTAGCCAGGGAGCAGCCAAGGGCAGCAGCTCCTCGCAGAGGGAGGGGGCAGGAGAGGGAGGAGAGAATCCCCACCGTGCAAAGCCTGGAGCCGGCAGTGCTGGAGCACCACCATGAGGGCCTGGGTGGCCTCTTCCTGCCCAGTGTCCTGTCCCCTCCTGGCCAACCAACCTCTCACCGGTCCTGGCGAGCTCCTGCTGGGGCAGGGAGAGGTTCCCCATGGGAAAGGCATTTGGAAGAGAAACGCACCAGCCTTCCCATTGCCTCAGTTAGGGACAAAACTACCTTCAGAAAGGAGGAAATAAGTGTTGAGTGCTCTGGCCAAGCCCTGGCACAGAGGAGAAGCTGACTTGGATCCCACGAGRGCCAGCACAGCGGCTTGGGGCAGGGATCAGCCCCATGTCCCTCTCCTGAACAGCCCCCACTGCCTGCACCAACTCCACGGCCTGCCCCACGCCGAGGGGAGCCGGCTCCAGGAATTGCTGTCCTTACGGTGGTGGCGGTGTCACCGTCCCGGGTGCCTGGTGCTGGCCACGAGCAGCAGCAAAGCATTGGGATGAGGTATCCCCCGCCTGTGCCGCGGGAGGAGTCCCCGCTCCCGGCCGTGGGGGACACGAGGGGGATTAGCAGCTCTCCAACGGAGACAGGGCGGGAAGGGGGCCGGTCACAGCTGGGCCGGGGCGTCCTGGAAGCTGATGAGGTTGGACTCCTGGCCGGGGCTCTTCCCGGGMGCGCCAGGGTCGGGCAGCAGTGGGCTGTCGGCCTTCGCTGCCRCCGCCGCCTCCTCCTCATCATCCTCCATGCTGGGCCAGGCCGACTGGTCCTCCACTCGCTTCAGCCGYTCGTTCAAGGCCTTCAGGGCCAGCTGCCTGTAGGACAAGGGCACGTGGGCAGGTTAACCCCGGGTCAATGGCTCTGCCCCATGGGGCACTGTGCAAGTCAGTCCCTGGCTTCTTCCCAGCAGGAAAGGGTGGATTCTGTAGTGCCGGGGAAGACCTGGAGCGCTTAGGACTGCTCCACAGAAATCTACTCTGGCTCCCAGACTACACGCACAGAATTTTCATGCCACGTGGTGCACTTGGAGGCTGTGAGACAGCACCTGGGCTGCTCTGGGAAGGGGAATAAAGGCATAAAACGGGGTAGGGAAAAGGGAGTGCCAGCGCCTTGTCCAAACCCTCCTGACAGAAGCCAGGAAGGCCAGTGCTGGGGTGTGGGGCTGACTCACTGCCCTCCCCTGGGCCAGGGTGAACTGGTGTAACTGCCACAAGCAGGAGCTGTCACCTCCCCAGGCTGTCCCCTTTCTGCTGGGACCCCAAACCCTGTCTGCCCCATTCCCAGGATCCCCCTGCTCTTTCCCTGCCTTCCCATTGCTGCTCTACATCTGGAAGAACAGGATAATGTCCCACCAGATCCCTGAAATGCTCTTCATCACCTTCGTGGCAGGGCAGCCCCCATCACACCCCAAGGAGACCCTTGCTGAGCCCCTGCACCTAAATCTCTCCCCTCCTCCGTGTTTGGATTTTAAACCCCACCCTCGCTGTCCCTGAACACGATCCCCATGAGCAGGGCAGGGCAGGTGGTACCTTCTCCTTTCGGCGTCCTGGGGGTCGGTCCCCGGCAGGCTGATGGTGATGGAGGACGGGGCACCCACGTCGTAGCGCTTGACGGTTTTGCGGCACACCCGCACCTTCACCAGCACGCTGTGCACCAGGTTGGCCACCAGACCCACCACGGGCTGCAGGATCTCGGGGAAGAAAGTGGCGAAGGCGAAGTGGTCGCTCATGTCTCCGCGGCCTCTACTGTGCCGCTGGTAGAAGCGGAGATAGACCCAGCTGGAGAGCAGCCCGAAGCCGTACGAGGCCAATACATTGCTCTCGACGAGGGCAGCGAGCCGCAGCAGAGCCAGGAGGAGGAGCAGGAGCATGGGGACAGCCTTCATTCTGACCTGAGGCACCTTCAGTACGGTRCTGTCCCCCATCGTCTGCTTGAGGGCCACCAAGACCCCCCCGAGGAAGCCCAGCCCGCCGTGGATGCGGACAGCGAACAGATAGTCGAGGTGGAAGGAGGCCACGTAGGTGAGGAAGTAGGCGAGGGCCGCCAGGAGCCCCACGGAGATGTTCACCACGGCGAAGAAGACGAGCAGCTCCAGCGCGCCCCAGAGGGGCTCCAGCAGGCGCCCGGCAGCCCCCAGCGTGGCCAGGCTGGCCGCCAGCCCCCAGGCGCGCTCCTCCACCAGCCCGTGCGTCAGCAGCGTCCACACCCAGAAGTTGGGGGGCAGGAGGTAGCCGGGCGTCACCCCCAGCCCGTAGGCCGTGTCCAGCCCGAAGGAGAGCAGGTACAGCAGCACCRCGGCGGCGCTCAGCGACTTCACCACCACGCTGGTGCCGGCCAGCGCCGCCAGGAAGTGCTGCCGGGCCACCGGCAGGTACCGCCGCATCTTCGGCCCCGCGGGCGGGACGGGGC